GCAGAAAAAGAAACACCCGGATCGGCAAGTAACCATCTATACTACCTCTAACGCTGTAATAGTCATAGGCTCATAACATAATATTCAACCTTAGCAGTGGAGCGAGCACCAACATTATATTTCTTGTTTTTCTAAGAAATTAGGGAATCAACCAGAAATATATAAAAACCTATAGTGGATTTACTATCCATGGCATCATTTGCCTAGTCAACATCAAAACGCACAAACATGAGTTTGGTCTCTTGTTAGTTCCTTTAATCTAGTAACAGACATGAGATCTGGACTTTTGTGAATATAAATTGGAACGTAGCGCTACCCATGGTGCCCGCTATTGATCCCAAAAACTGTTCCCCGTGGTGGCTGAGCAAAATTATGACTTGGCAACCGATGGGAGTATTCCTACAAGAGAAGTCGAGGTTCGGAGGGATTCCAATGGTGGACCCTCCGATGATAAAGTCAAAAAAGAATAACTGAAAGATATGGTATTTAGCTGGGAGTAGTAACTTACTTGGATCATGCCCAGCTTGGCCTTTTTATAGATAAAAAGATTGGACCGTTAGAAAATCATCAACTGTTATTTGAATGGAACAGCACAAATAGTATAATAGAAGATGGCGGCCCTCTAGCGTGGATATCTCAATTGGTTTGAAATAGTCAAAGCATGCAAAGCTAAAGAGCTAAAGAGCTGCCGAGTTGGGATGCTGGCGATCAAGGAGTCGAGGGCCTTTCCAAACCATGGAGCTCCTTCCCCATAAGCAGAGCTCCTCTGCCGAGCTCATGCTTAATTTATCATTATCAAGGAACATCCATCCTCCCTTTTTTTGTATATCTCCTACACTATTACGTGACTCATACTGCAACCAACCAAACATGGGATATTGAGTTGATTTATGACCTTTGGGATCCCTAAATTACTTTGTTTAACGTAGATTTACCCACTGGTCTGCTTCTTGATTCCCTTGATTTNACCAACCAAACATGGGATATTGAGTTGATTTATGACCTTTGGGATCCCTAAATTACTCTGTTTAACGTAGATTTACCCACTGGTCTGCTTCTTGATTCCCTTGATTTTTTTCATTATTACCACCTGTGGAATTTTCTCCTTGCACACAAGAAGTTGCACAACCATTGGGTTGAATGGCTCGACAATATACATCACATAATCGAATTGACATATTATTAAGTTGCTCCCAAATTTGAAAAAACATCTCACCTCGCTACCCATCCATCATTCACCCACCAAACAATCTTCCCGAATGCATAGACATGTTCAATCCTCACTTTGATACCAAAATTGATGTAGGAGAATAGAGAGCAAAAAAACAGCACTGTTTAACAGTAACTTGGGTAGGAACAATACGCCAAACGGTAATCTTATCTAGGAATCACTCCTAGGATTACTTAGGTATCAAACGTAGGATTTGAATAGCATCTCATAGTCCTCAAAGCATATAATTGCTGAAAATTCTAGGCAATAATATCTTTATTCTTATTCAAGTATATACACCCCCAAGTATTTCTTAATCCTAAACATACTTGTACTCCAAGTTGCTAATTAGGAAACATCTATAAACTAGAACTATATGTATAAATATTCAATACTAAAAATTGAACCTGTATAAGGTTGTTGTCACTTGTTTCCATCAGATACTCACTGCTTAAACTAATGTTTCCATGAAACACCTGATGTTCGTTACATCATCTTTGGACTCTAGATACTCTTGCGATTTGAAAAGCTTCTACAATCTAATTGGATGTCTGTTTTTAACTTCAGCACCTCCTGCTCCCCCATATATTTTTGGTAAAAACATCATTTAGTCCTATTTTTTAACCCAAAAAACACTCGAGTCCTATCAATTATATGTGAGAACAATTTAGGCTTTTCAAAATTGATTCCAAATAAGTCCTAAGTTTTATTATATTCCTTTTTTACCCTTTTAATTATTAATTACAAAAGTACCATTGTCCAATTCTAAAATAAGAGGCCAACAGCTTTAAAAACATGAAATGGAGGACCAACCCTTCTAGTTGTGTCTCTAACCTTACTACGCTACCCAACCAGCGAATAAAAGGTAGAATTTTGCTGGCACAAAAAGCCGATAGAAAGCCTAATCAAAGCGGGCAAACAAGAAGATCTTTTTTGTTTCATGTTAAAACCATGTTTTTCTTTTCCATTTTATCCCAAGAATGTAGCAAATGTATAAAAAACAAACAATTTTAATCATTTTGCAAAACAAAACTGTAATTTATGTTACAAATTTAAAAAACTTACACATATCACTTTATAGCGCGCGCGCACACACACACACACACACGCACAACAAATGGGTTTGTATATGTTTATCAACAAGGATAGAACTGAAGTGGTACTAATAACAAAAGAGCATTCAATCAACGAATCAATCTAGAAATAGCACATGCACACCCACATCCAATTCAAATTTCAATTAACATTAACCATAGTTATATTCAACGTTCAATGAACATTTGGCAATGAATCAACAAAAACAGGAATCAAAACACACATACTCACACTCGTGGACACAAATATGAATGCATATATGGTTATAGGTGATGTTAGAGATTAACCCAAACCCTCCAATTATTTTATTATTANTCAAATTTCAATTAACATTAACCATAGTTATATTCAACGTTCAATGAACATTTGGCACTGAATCAACAAAAACAGGAATCAAAACACACATACTCAGACTCGTGGACACAAATATGAATGCATATATGGTTATAGGTGATGTTAGAGATTAACCCAAACCCTCCAATTATTTTATTATTTTATTATATTATTAGTTATGGTGTTGTTCTAGAATTCTAGTCCATAAACGTTTGTTGCCATATTGGAATTAGTTTATTGTTAGAATTGCTTATCATGTTAAAGAAGTAGCAACTAAAACATCTCTTGGAATAACATAATTCTTGGACAATAACAGTGTTTGCAATTTTGGCCTAGAAAGACATCCCATGTTTGTATGGACAATGGCACTTCAGTAATTACTACTAAGAAAGGGTAAAAAAGGAATACAATAAAAATTAGGACTTATTTGGAAGAAGTTATCAAGAGTAGGACTAAATTGTTCAAATATAAATTTCATAGGACTTAATTATTTTTTGAAAGAAAAATAAGACTTATTCGTGTTTTCCCCATATTTTTCGGCATTCTGGATATGGTTTCCCTTAAAGATTGCAGAATCTTAGCCTGATAGAGTTAACCACAGCCTTCAACCCACCTCATCCCCAAGCCAATCTTTTGACCTCATCAATCACATCGTGTCTAGGTACAATCTCTATCTCAAAATTCCACCCCAAATATTTTGTAACTTCAACTAGCCAAAGAACATCAATCATCCTATTTACCAAAAACTCAATCATCTTCTTTATGCCCTCTATTTGATTCATCATTACCCTCGGCTCTTCCCACTATATCACAAAAGCATCTCTCTAATCAACCCTCAAAATTTCACTTCATACCTGGCACTAAACGCGTCCTCACACCAACTTTTCTCCTTAATCATTACCCCGACACTTACAAACTCCTCAGCATTCTGAAAGAGAACTCTCCTATTTCCAATCTAAAAATTCTCGAGTCTCTAAGAATTTATTTCTTGACCACATTTATACTAAAATCCTAACATTAAATTATAAAGTAATGCTATTTGTATCTAAAAATCTGACCTAATTTGTTGACATAATGTTGTGGCTTCAGTGGAACCATTAGATTAACAGCAAGTTCCAATATTTGATGGAGCCCAAAGTCAATCCAAATATCATAGTAAATTAGGTCAGTAAATTAGATCCCAATAACATTGCTCTAAATTAAAAAAACAAGGGCTTCAGCTTATTTTCCATCCCCAATGCCAAAATATCTAGAAACTAGGGGAAAATCCATTCAATTTCATTCTTTTGAATGCCAATTCCCTCCAATAATTTAATTCTATCACGAATTTGGTCCCCCCCTTCTCTCGGGGGGTAATGGTTACCATTAGAAATGCCTCTAAGAACCTGATTACAGCACCATCATTGAACCCTAGAGTCCTAGACCCTTCAAACACTATAAGCACCTAGAAAGATCATTTGGTTCTAAATTGAATTTCCTAGAAACTTCAAGAACATTTTGAACAGATAATGAGGAAACATGAGAAAGCCCTATTTCTGAGCTATACATTTCTTTGAAGTAACCAGTCTAAGAATATGGACACAGAGGCAAGAAAATCTTCATATAGGTACATAGTTTTATAGAGAGAGATAGAGAGAGAGAGATGGCACCTCCTCGGGCTCTTGCCCACCTTGCAACTGTAATTGTTCTTCTTGGTTGGTCTTGCTTTAGCAATGGGTATTAACTTTACGAATCACCTGGTTCTGATTATTTGAAAATAATTTATGAGTTTGATATCCAACCACTTCCCAAGTTATATTCTATACCCACATATTGAATCTCAAGAGCCATTAAAAAAAATAATAATAATATATATATATATATATATATATATATATATGAACATCTGACTATATATAAAGGTGTCAGGTGGAAAATCATAGTTAGCGGCAGTGCATGTGGCATGCAGTGTGGCAGTGGTGTGTGGCACTGTGAGTCGGGTTATGCGCACAGTGGGTGCATGTGAATTGGGAAATCACAGAAGAAAGCGAGAAGAAAGATGGGAGGACAGAAAGTAGGAGAATTAAAAGTGTGTATTCTATTCAAGCTCTTCAACAAAAGCATGTCTTTTAAACATTTTATTAAATGGATGTCGTTTTGTTTAACAGTGTGTTTTCAAAATGCGTTTTTACCATAAGAACGTGGTTTCATTCTAAATAATTTGAAAAGACGGTAAAGTGACAAAAAGGTCTGCAAAAATGCCATAATCTGAAAATTAACTCTAATTGGTCAGTCAAAGATAACCAACCAATGAATGAATGTGAACATTATGTCTCTAATCATGTTATACGACAAAATTAGTAACAAATGAAAGATAACTATACCTCACAAAGGATAAGCTGAACGAATACATGTCTCAACTGTCCATAGAGGTGAGGAAAACTGTGTGGCACTCTCTCCTTAAACCAAAGTCTCCATGAAGCATTTGATGTTCTGCACATCCTCTTTCGACTCTCGATACTTTTGTGGTTTGAAAAGCTTCCACATTCCAACTGGATGTCGGTTTTTAACTTCAACATCTCCGGCAAACCTCCCATATATTTTTTCACATTCTGGATATGGCTTGACATAAAGATTGTAGAATCTCATCCGACTACACTTAATTAAAGCCTTCAACCCCACCTCATCCCCAAGCCCACCTTTTGACCTCAAATACTCAATTGCACTGTATCTAGGTACAATCTGTTTCTCAAAATTCACCCCCAAATATTCTGGAACTTCAACCAGGCAAAGAACATCAAATTTCATCCTATTTATCAAAAACTCAATCTTCTTCTTAATGTCCTCTATCTGATACAACATTACCCTCGGCTCTTTCCACAATATTGTAAATGCATCTCTATATGTTAAACCATATTTGTGTAAAACATCAACCCTCAATTTCACTTCATACCCTGCCCTAAACACTCCCTGACGAAATATTTTCTCGTCAATTGCTACCCGACACTTCAAACTCCTCAGCATTCTCAAACATTTGGAGAGCTCCCCTACTTCCAATCCGAGAATTCTCGGGTCTCTAAGAATTTCTTTCCTAACCACATCTGTACTAAAACCCAAATCCTCAAATTCAGAAAACAAGGGCTTCAGCTTATTTTCCATACTATATGCCAAAATACCCGGAAACCACTGGAAAATCCGATCAATTTCATTCCTTTGAATGCCAATTCCCACCAAGAATTCAATCCTATCACGAATTTGGTCCCCACTCATCATGATTACCATTGGAAATGTCTCTAAAACCCTATTCACAGCACTATCACTTAACCTTAGACCCTTCAAACACTGTAGACACCGATAAAAATCATTTGGGTCTAAATCGAATTTCCTAGAAACTTCAAGAACATTCTGAATAGTTATCCAGGAAACATGAGAAGCCCCCATTTCCGAGATACCCATTTCCCATTTTTTGAGAAATTCCAGCTCTAGAACCCTAGGACAATTATTTACAACTGAATGGAGAAAGTCTTGACAAGGTTTCAAGGATATAAGAATTTTAAGTGACTTTTCGATGTCAGCGGAATGGGAATTCAGTAAAAATCGATTCCTAGTGAGAAAAGTATGTAGTTTGCATGGGGGGAAACGGTACCTTTGGAATAGATTTGAGAGAGAAACTACATTCATGTGGTAAGTTTTTTGTGAGAAATCTGGGGGCCTTGGAATTTGGGGCTTCGGGCTTGTGGAGAAAGCCGGAGGCTTTGGAATTTGGAGTGAAGGGATGGTTGCCGTGGTGAAAGTGATGAGGCTATAAACAGAGGGTCTGACTAGAAATCTTATCGCCATTGTTACGTGTCTCTTAAACTGCTATTGCTCGACACAATTCGCATCCACCTCACGAATTTGCATACCAAGTGCAAATCTGTAAATTTAGAGTAGATTTGTGGTAAATCCACGAATTTAAAAAACTTGAATTCATGATTTAGTAATTATAATTCGTTGGATTGAATTACTTAAAAATAACTTCACATGTACAATAAATATTTGAACTCATGAGGCCAAAATCAACGTCATGTAAATCATTTCAATATTACGCCACAAATATAAGGCTCAATTACTGGACTGAACACAACTCTGATTACAGCTGTGCATTTATAGCTGTAAAATTTTTGCACTTGTACTGATGTGGGATAGAGGTGTCGTATTTCTACCCGTGAAGTCATTTAACTTTGAGGAATTTTGATGAGCCTAAATTCAATTGGGCTTGGATCCAGTTCATGGGTTGAGCCCAAATCATCAAAAGGCAAGGTTATACTTAGCTCAGGGCCTTAGTTCAATTCAAAACTCAAGAATCTAGGAAAAGTCAGCCTGTGTGGGAGAGCAATCATCGGAATAGTCATGACCTAGATTGCATAGAGTGTAAACATGAGTGGGAGCGAGAGTGTAAACATGAGCGCGAGCGAGAGTGTAAAACTGGCACCATTCAAAAATATTTGAGAGCGGGAGTATCTTTGAGGGCGCCATATTTTTAAAAAATAAAATATTATATACAAATATATTGTAAAAGAATAAAAAAAAGAGCTTAGCTAAAAAAAAAAAGCAGTGAATTGTGAAGAGCAAGGCATTTGAAAGCCTTTGCCTTGAATCCCACATCAACAAAATCACAATGAAGGAGACCTTTCATGCTTATAAAAGGTTACAGCCCCTTCCCTATGTCTTTCAGCCTTCTCACTTGCTTTTTGCATGTGGTAACCAGTTGGAAATCCTTTAATTAAGGGAGTACAGTTGATGTGGCTAATTACTAAAGTTTTTAAAATTTTAATAGAATAGTACTTTTATTTGCATAAAGCTGGTAGCGAATTTGTTTGCATGAATTCGCTCTCAACTCGCGAATTCACGTGCAGAGCTTGAGAGCGTGAGTGTCTACGCACGAATCGTGCGACTCAGGCCATGACTCTAAGATAGTGTATATCCCTAATTATAGCTATCATCCTCGGAAGATTAGTAGCTTGACCTTTATGACACCGACACAGTTAGAGTTTTGTGCCTATAAATTGTAAATCTCTTACACGTGGTACACACACTACACCTTGAGTATACCCTTGCACTTTTTTTCTCTCCTACTAACTTGTACTCCCTTATTAATAAAGTTCTCTGGCCACCATTGCCGCCTTCAGTGATTACGTCTCCCAGACTCAACCACCTAATCTTTGTTTCTTATTATTGATTGCTTTATTAATTGCTCTACACCACACATACTCGATTGATTTTGATTGTGCACAGTCAACTTTATGCATCATCAGTTTGACACCGTCTGTGAAAACTGAATAAGTTTTCTACTATCATCTATCTGCCCCTTGCTCTCTCCATGGCTAGTACAACTAGGCCAATGAAACGACCCAACGCGTCAGGAGGAGGTCCTATCTCCACCTATAGAAACCCATCGTTGTGGCAAATCCTGTGGTTGGACAGCAGCTACTAGAGACAATACAGTTACTGGTGAGCCAAAACTAGCACATTCTTTAGTTAATGTTTGCACGTAAGAGGAGTCATGCCTTAGCCCGCAGGAAGGGAAACGCCACAGCCCGTCCACCCAGGGCACCAAGGCAACCTCCAATGTGGAGCCCAACACCAAAGCACCAGCCAACATGAGGGAATCCCCTGCCCAGGAGCCCCAGCTCCCCTTCCTCATGCTCCAACTCTATCATCACAAGTTGGCGACCCTCTTATACAGCAGGATGAAGGGAAAAACCAGTATGTGGACTACGAAAGTTATAACGATCTGACATAGGGCATCCCCAACCAATGGGATGAGAAAATTAGGGAGGTACAAAACCAGCTAGGGGACGTCTTCAACGTTATCAAAGTGCAGGCGCTGAAAACAATGGACTATCTGATAAGGCACACTGACACTCCATTCGTGGTCGATATAGTCAACTATCCGTACACTCGAAGTTCAAAATGCCCATTATGGAAACTTTTGACGATTCGAAAGATCTAATTGACCACTCGACACGTACAAATCCCTAATACAACTTCATNTCCTATGTCTTTCAGCCTTCTCACTTGCTTTTTGCATGTGGTAACCAGCTGGAAATCCTTTAATTAAGGGAGTACAGTTGATGTGGCTAATTACTAAAGTTTTTAAAATTTTAATAGAATAGTACTTTTATTTGCATAAAGTTGGTAGCGAATTTGTTTGCATGAATTCGCTCTCAACTCGCGAATTCACGTGCAGAGCTTGAGAGCGTGAGTGTCTACGCACGAATCGTGCGACTCAGGCCATGACTCTAAGATAGTGTATATCCCTCATTATAGCTATCATCCTCGGAAGATTAGTAGCTTGACCTTTATGACACCGACACAGTTAGAGTTTTGTGCCTATAAATTGTAAATCTCTTACACGTGGTACACACACTACACCTTGAGTATACCCTTGCACTTTTTTTCTCTCCTACTAACTTGTACTCCCTTATTAATAAAGTTCTCTGGCCACCATTGCCGCCTTCAGTGATTACGTCTCCCAGACTCAACCACCTAATCTTTGTTTCTTATTATTGATTGCTTTATTAATTGCTCTACACCACACATACTCGATTGATTTTGATTGTGCACAGTCAACTTTATGCATCATCAGTTTGACACCGTCTGTGAAAAATGAATAAGTTTTCTACTATCATCTATCTGCCCCTTGCTCTCTCCATGGCTAGTACAACTAGGCCAATGAAACGACCCAACGCGTCAGGAGGAGGTCCTATCTCCACCTATAGAAACCCATCGTTGTGGCAAATCCTGTGGTTGGACAGCAGCTACTAGAGACAATACAGTTACTGGTGAGCCAAAACTAGCACATTCTTTAGTTAATGTTTGCACGTAAGAGGAGTCATGCCTTAGCCCGCAGGAAGGGAAACGCCACAGCCCGTCCACCCAGGGCACCAAGGCAACCTCCAATGTGGAGCCCAACACCAAAGCACCAGCCAACATCAGGGAATCCCCTGCCCAGGAGCCCCAGCTCCCCTTCCTCATGCTCCAACTCTATCATCACAAGTTGGCAACCCTCTTATACAGCAGGATGAAGGGAAAAACCAGTATGTGGACTACGAAAGTTATAACGATCTGACATAGGGCATCCCCAACCAATGGGATGAGAAAATTAGGGAGGTACAAAACCAGCTAGGGGACGTCTTCAACGTTATCAAAGTGCAGGCGCTGAAAACAATGGACTATCTGATAAGGCACACTGACACTCCATTCGTGGTCGATATAGTCAACTATCCGTACACTCGAAGTTCAAAATGCCCATTATGGAAACTTTTGACGATTCGAAAGATCTAATTGACCACTCGACACGTACAAATCCCTAATACAACTTCATAATGTACCAGACAAGATAATGTGTAGAGCCTTCTCGATAACCCTCATGGGATCTGCACGCGAATGGTTTGCCAAACTTAAATCATCTTCAATCAATTCTTTTGCCGAACTAAGCAAATTCTTTGTCTCCCACTTCATAAGGGGGACACCGACATCAAAAGTCAGTCACCCCACCTACTCACAATTAAGCAGGATCGAGATGAAAATTTAAGGAGCTACCTCACTCGATATAATGAGGAGGCCCCCCAGATCGAAGATTCAAATTATAAGGTCACCATGGCCACCTTTATTGCACGTTTGTGATCATCTAGCTTTATGTTTTCAATTTTGAAAAAACCACCAGCAAGCATTCCCGAGCTATTATCCAATGCACATAAATATATCAATGTTGAGGACGTCACCAAAGCCAGGTAAGATGAGTCCTCCTGCTAAGGAGAGACAAGAAACGATACCCATGAAGACAAAAGAAAGCAAAAAGAAAAAGATGACAGAGAGAGTGTCCGTCAAGGACTGCCTCGATCCCGCACATTTGAGCGAGCAGCAAACATTCACATCGCGCAATGCTTCAGTCGAGCATATATTGATCCAAATCGAGGATGATCCCACGATACGTTGATGGGGGAAAATGAAGTTAGACCCAAATCATAGGAACTCGAAAAAATACTGCCAGTTTCACTACGATCATGGCCACGACACTGACGATTACTTTGAACTCAAAAGGTAGATTGAGGACCTCATATATCGTGGTCAGTTGCAATAGTATGTAGCTAGCGAAGGACAAAACCCCACCACCTGGGCGGAACCAGTATGACAAAGATCACCAATAGCCCCTCGAAGAAATCCAGATGATCTCCAGAGGGTTAGGAAGAAGAGGAGGTGACTCCAACTTAGCTAGGAAGGCACATGCTAGGCGAGCAAGATAGGCAAAGTCAGATAACTCTCGCCCAACAAAGATGCACGGGCAAGGGGAGGTCATCTCGTTCTCAGATAGGGATCTCGAGGGAATTCAACACCTCCATGACGATCCTTTGAAGTTAACGATGATGGTAGCCAACTGCCAAGTTAAGAGAATCTTGGTAGACAACAGCAGCTCTACTGATATCCTATTCGCACCAGCCTATGATAGCCTCCATCTTGGCAGGGAAAGATTATAAACTATTAATACGCCCCCTCATTGGATTTTTTNTCATAAGGGGGACACCGACATCAAAAGTCAGTCACCCCACCTACTCACAATTAAGCAAGATCGAGATGAAAATTTAAGGAGCTACCTCACTCGATATAATGAGGAGGCCCTNTCATAAGGGGGACACCGACATCAAAAGTCAGTCACCCCACCTACTCACAATTAAGCAGGATCGAGATGAAAATTTAAGGAGCTACCTCACTCGATATAATGAGGAGGCCCCNCATATTTTTAAAAAATAAAATATTATATACAAATATATTGTAAAAGAATAAAAAAAAGAGCTTAGCTAAAAAAAAAAAGCAGTGAATTG